CTAAACGAAAAAAACAAAGTTTTAGCGGCGTCGACTTCATTTCTGAATGAGTTGGCCAAACTCTAGCACACATACAAGGGTATTTCTGGAAGTGGCTCAAAGGTCATCAGTGCCCACGTTGTTTAGGCTGGGCTTTCAACTACCGCCATCCGAAGCTGTTTTCCTCCCGGTGAATCCTTCGGATATTCTCCTGTGAACAGAAAGGGAACCGATCGTCGTGTAGTAATTTAGTCATCGTTTTTCCTGCGTGCCTTCAATCTCCCTTCTGTTACTTAACTCGTTTTATATGGTGCACTTTGGAACTTGGCTTATTATTAATGTTAGAAAGCAACGTTTTATTCAGGATTTCTTCTCATTACAGAAGACATTTCCATCATGTTAGTCTTATTTCCGTTTGTCAACTTATGTCAATACTGACGAGCAAAGCCAACCAACCAATCATTTGTAACCATCTTCAGTTCATGTCTCAGCCGAGGGAGACATAAGGCCAAAACCTATTCACCGAAATGACGCGCTCAGTTCTAAAGCTCAACTGCTGCATCAAGTGGCATCCGAGTCGACCTTGGACAGCTGCGAAACGCCCGAGCGGACATTAGACGATGGTAAATCTTTGAATGTGGTCTGACTTTTATGATTCATTAGTTTTTCGTATGCCTTTGCGAATTTCCCTGAATTGTTTATCGTACATTCTTTTGCCCGAATGTTTTGACAACTTAAAGTACCAAAAAGTTTGGAAATTTGATCATGGCTTTCAGATGTTTTCGAAGATCGAGCGTCAGACTTATTTTAAAGCAAACTTTCGTCTTGTTATCTCATACTTTTGTTCTCTACCATTGTTTTCCTTTAAGGCTCACTTTCAATGGAGAAAATAAACCGAAGCTCACCGAAGAATAATATCATATTACTGTCAGGTACTGATGTAACCGCAAGCGAGGATGGCGATGCAATATTTGTAAGTACTCTACGCTCCGAACTGATTTAATTGTAGCGTCGAGCACAAACATGGTTTAAAGATTAGCATATAGCTCCAGTTATGGTTTCAGCTTCGATTACGGTAGAGGCATACAGTCAAGTCTTTTACATCACCAAACTTGCAAGATTTATTTTCCTTTTTAGTATTCGGAACCAGCTGTCATGACTGATCGACCTGAGGAGGCCAAAGTCTTCTCTTATGCGCAGATTCTTACGGCAACGTTCGGGTCTTTTGTTCATGGCGGCAATGATGTGAGGTAGGTCCCCACAAATTAAAACCAAGCAGAACTTTCAAAATCAGTTTTACTAACGGTAAATTTTCTCACTTTTTATCATTCAAGCAACGCAATTGGACCTCTTATTGGGCTTTGGATTGTAAGTACAACGGGATCCGTTACGATGCAAAAGAATATACCTATCCCTCTTCTTATCTACGGAGGAATTGGCATTTCAGTCGGACTTTGGGTTTGGGGTTTCCGTGTGATTCAAACCATTGGTGAGGATCTCACAGCAATGACCCCTACCAGGTAAAAAAATATTGATTACGAAAAATTACGGTTTTCTAAAATGATTTAAAAGTAGCCGAATGCGGTCTATGGCTAGTGTATTTTTAATTAATCAAGATTTATGGTCACCATAGGTACACGGTTTGAGTTCTTTTCTTTATTTTGTACTTTAATTCGCATAGTATTCGACCGCACGACTAGACTATCGTTCAGCGGCCTGTTGATGCCTACGGGCGCCCTAACACGAATCACAATAAAATTTTCATCAGGCAGGTTGCTTAGAATAAATTGTGTACTCTAACGTCTTACATATAAATCCTAATTAGGAGGCAGCGCTTGTGGGCAACCTTATTTAGTGGCGATTCGCGGTTGGCATGCAACAATGCTGACATCAGGCCTTGTGACATAAGACATTCGGCATGCCAGACCTTTGTCCTCAATGCCTTGTGCTGCAACTGCGTATTTGCCACAGTCCATTGCCTGCTTGGTTGGTTGTCAGGCTAAATTTACCGAAGGCCGTTATCGTCAAAGCTAACGGGTGAACCCGTGTTCCTGGCTCGTTTGCGAATTTGCTTCCTGCTTATTGGCTGCGCCACTTCGTTATACTGTCGGTACGCTATGCGCGCACGACGTCTGGTGATTTGGGGAAGACAGTATGGATCAATACGTACTGCAAAATGGGGGGAAGGAAGCATGCGCGCAGACCTCTATGGTTCCTTCTTTGCCGCGGGCATGTGCGGATGTCAGACCCTGGAAGACCGCTCTGGTGGCTGAAACAGCCT